CAAAAATCACACTGGTGTCAATTCTTGTAATGTTGAACAGGAAAACAGTTTTTCAAGAAGTATGTTTGTCCTATAATCTACCATCGAGGTGTTCAACTCACAACGGGAAAATTGTCACTTGATCATATTTTGACGGCGGGATTTGAACCCGCGTCTTCACTGCACACTGTGTGAAGTCTTATTAGCATAAAAATTGAACATCGAAATGCAATGTTGGCAAGAACTGAATCCACGGCTTCTACTCCGTGCTATATGACAACTCGTATTTTGGGAGAGGGCTAAGCCTGAGTCAACAAGACAAACAAGCCCGCAAGTATCTTCTCGGCCAATTTGGGGACATGGAAGCTGGAAGATCGAAGATGGAAGATGGAAGATGGAAGATGGAAGATGGAAGATGGAAGATGGAGGATGGGGCATGGAAGATGGAAGATGGAGCATGGAGGATGGAGAATGAAAGATGGATCACGGAAGATGGAAGATGGAAGATGGAAGATGGAAGATGGAAGATGGAAGATGGAAGATGGAAGATGGAGGATGGAGGATGGAGGGCGGAAGATGGAAGATGGAGCATGGTATATCAAAGATGGAAGATGGAGCATGGAAGATGGAAAATGGAGCATGTAAGATGGAAAATGGAGCATGGAAGATGGAAGATGAAGCATGGAACATGAAGCATGGAACATGGAGCATGGAAGATGGAAGGTGGAACATGGAAAATGGAGCATGGAAGATGGAGCATGGAATATGGAAGATTGGAAGATGGAAGATGGAAGGTGGAACATGGAGCATGGAACATGGAGTTGGAGCATGGAAAAAGGAAGATGGAGCACGAAATAAGGAAGATGGAAGATGGAGCATGGAAGATGGAAGATAGAAGATGGAGCATGTAGTATGGGGCATGGAATATGGAAGATGGAAAATTGGAAGATGGAAGATAGAAGATGGAGCATGGAAGATGGAACATGGAACATGGAAACCTACAACAAAACTCACCTCCTTGCAGACTGGGAGAGAGCATGGCGGAACTAGGGGCAAGAGATGCTGATGGGGGGAGGATGTACAGGAAAGAAGAAACCCTAGATGGACTTTATGTTTCCTCGTACAAAACTTTGCTATGTTAAGCTATAACCATTCTCGGAGTTCTTTAGCATAGCTGTTTCTGAATGCCCTCGAACATAACATGAGTTGAGATCAATCCACAGCATGTTTTCTTCCTTTAGCAGGGTACCTTTTTTCGAGTGAAAAACATTGATTACAAGCATCCTTCTAGTACATATTACAAGTTGCACAGTCGAACAAGGATCACAAAAGAAACAATGGATGAGAAAGCATAAAGAGCCATGCAATAACTAAGAGCGTGTTCCTACGAACCTCTTTTCAGGCAACCCCTTCCCAGACTCGTAGGACCCTAGTTCAGAGTTCACCTGTTTCAGATTTGCGTTCCACCATTCTCAACCGCATAAAAACAGCTCGCGTTGAAACTAGACTGCACAGATTCGCGCGTTTGCAAACATTTGCGCCTGAAAAGAGGTTCTGAAACACGCACGTTAATCTTGGCAAGCCAAACCTCGCGTAGCACGACACAAAAGCGCACCGAACAATTTTGCGTCAGAATTCGCGACACTGTAGCGCGCGAGTCTAGAAAGAGGCTGCCCAGGAAGAGGTCCGTAGGAACATGCTCTAATAGCTGTATAATAACATTAATATGACTACTTCTCCTTGGAGTAAGAAATGCTATTTAAATCATATGAACTATTTGTATGCATATTTGTTTTATGTAATGAACTCCAAAAACTTTCCCCATACTGTTCTACATCTCTTTGTAAATACGCATATTTCTCAAAGTTAACTTCGCAACCGTAAGATGATTTTGTCAACTCTCATAAATATTTCAAAAGGAGCTATGCAACCCTGAGACAATTGTGTCACCCATTGTGTTTTTGTTTGTTTGTTAAAAAAAAAAAAAAAAAAAAAAAAAAAACCCGAACAGTCAAGATAAAATTGTGGTTAGTGAATTGTAACAGTTAATTGTACTGCGTAGAGGGAAAGGGGGATAAAATGGGTCTATATGGATGGTTGATTCGTTAAAGCCTGAGTTTACATTTGTGGTTGTTGTTTTCAAATCAAAACATTCAGAAGTGGGTACCCTAGTGGACTGAGCTATAATCACCCAACCCCTTCAAAACATTTGAATCGGGCCTCAATCACAATTGTGTACAGATTTGGCTCACCCCAAAATTGCGATCCCCCCCTCCCCCTCTAATTGTGATTTCCCCCTCACTACGTCAAATTACGATTTCCCCCTCACTCTGTCAAATTGTGATCCCCCCCTCCCCCTCTAATTGCGGCCCCCCAAATTTCCCCCTCCCCCCTCCAATTGTGATTCCCCCTCCCCCTCCAATTGCGATTCTCCCCTCCAACCTACCCTCCCCCTTCAATTGCGATTCCCCCCTCCCCCCTCCAATTTTGATTCCCCCTCCCCCTCTAATTGCGATCCCCCCTACCCCCTCCCCCTAAATTTTGATCTCCCCCACTCCCTCAAATTCCCCTCCCCCCTCCGATTTCGCAACTCCCGCTTCTCGATGCTTGCAAAGTCTGCATCCTCTGTTATTAGTTCTCCAGTTTCGCCTCTCTCGTAGACCATGTTGGTGCAAAACATAATTTTGCACATCAACCTGCCGCCTACTTGCTGAGGATGGGCTGATAAAGAGTTGAGGGAAGCTGTGGGGTTAAGTTGTGTAAAAACGAGCTGAGAAAAGTTCCATGGAAGTCTCGTGGAAGTCCCATGGAAGTCCCATGGACGTCTCATGGAAGTCCTATGGAAGTCCCATGGAAGTCTCATGGAAGTCTCATGGATGTCCCATGGAAGTCCCATGGAAGTCTCATGGAACTCCCATGGGAGTCACACAGGAGTCACATGGGAGTCACATGGGAATCTCATGGGAACTTACGGCGGTTTTATGGAGGACCTATGAGGTTGGTTTAAGAGTCTTGTGGGAGCTTTATGGGGGCCCTTGAGGAGTGTAACAAGGTGCATGGTTTTTGCCTTTAAGCAACTACCATATACACCTTAAGGCTTGTATAAGGCATGGATTAGTAAGTAAAGGGGACGAGATCGTAAGGGAATGCATGGGGAAGATATGCTAAGGTGAATTGCACATGGTTTCAGGCTGGGATGCGTGGTGCCATGTGGATTTCCCGTCCACATACTCTTGACACTATTTGCATTTGGGGTTTGCATGTGAAATACGTGGGCACTCGCAGGTGAACTGTGGAGTGAGTGGTGTACAATTTTTAGGTGAAAGTCGCAGGTGAAAAGGGCAGATTTTGCAGGTGCCACGCATGGGAAAGAATGGCTGTTGTGACAACGATCTCATGTTGCAATATTTAAGGTTTTGGAGTGTGGTTCAAGCTAGTGATTGGTGGGCTACTTGCTTTTGAATTTTGGTAGGCTACTAGATTAAATATGCTTGTGTGTTTTGTCTGTAAGTTATCCTTTTATGAATGAAACATTCCCTATCATCGTATTGACGTAAAAAAATTACTGCACATGCACCAAGTCATAATATATCTGTTGCGTTTATGTTGGAGGAAGGCTCTGGTGGAATTTGACCAAGCCTATACTTGGCTTACTCTCTTCAAACATGGACCCTTGGATAGGGGCTGGTTTTACCAAGCACCCAAGGACCCTTGGAAGTGACCCCGTGGAGTAAGTTTTGTATGCTTGAGTCCCTATTCCTAGAGTGTTATTAGGTTCCTATTTCTAACAGACCAATAATGCAAAACGAGGCCAACAAATCCTAAATCTACACCAGGACCCCACTCAAATGTAGTTGCGGACTTTAAAGCCCGACAAACAGGTTGCAAGTCCCCTTTTCTCAAGCTGTTGCATCTTGAGGCCCACGTAACCGAGCAGCGCTCATCAAGATGCCAAGGCTCGCAAAGAGTCTCCAACCTGGCAGGGTTGCAGGCCCTCGGAACTTGGCAGTGCACACCTGCCAAGTTCTCTGAGGGGAGAAATGGGTTGGGTTTGGGCAAGGGGTAGAAACCTTTTTCCTTCAATCAAAGTTTGGGCCGTTATACGCGAAAGAAATTCGTGGGTCGCATTTCTCTGTACTCTACATGCTCAAAACAAACAGCCAAACGATCTTTGAAACATATGGGGTTCATATTGGCGGAGTAACCTCACGTATTTGATGTGATAATTCATACTTCACATTCAGTTCTGATAGGTCTTACTGAATCACACTGAAGGTAGCGTCCGTAGAATGGCATCAACAAATAGCGCTCGTCTTGATGATTGCGTCAACAAGGCCACTCCAGTCATGCGAACAGTCGCGCCCCTTTCAGTAGCGAATAGAGCGCATAGCGTGCAACTAACGAGCAGATACATTCTGAAAAGGTGTTGCACGCAGGTATAAAACTGGGCTGTATTCCTTCTATTATTAACTTGACCTCTAGTAATATTCCGGAAAAAACCATCAGTTCACAAGATTTCCGCTGCCTTATTAGTGTACCATTCCAGAAAAAAGGTCCTTGTTATTGTTATGGATTCTACAAGGCTATAGTATTACTTCTAGCACTTCAGTACTAACTTTCTACTTCAAAAACGTGAGCCTGCACACTCAATACTTAGCCTCTTGCAACATTCATTTTCATTATTTTATTGGATGAGAGCTATCTCGATTTAAGACTGCCATCATTTCTACAAATGACTGGACCAACATCGGCTCCAACAACTGGTTCCACGACAACTGGATCACATGCATGATCAATTCTACTATTTTTTCATGGGCAATCAGGTGATTCTGCAGCTGGTGTTTTTCCAGCTACATGTGCCTTGATTGGCATGCCTCAATAGTTGCCTCGAGAGCTTGTTGTACATCCACTAAGCATTTTATCTTCCGCACATGCAACACCGCAGCAAGCAACATCGTCAATAACATCAGCTTTTAGTGGATGAGACTTGATGGCTCCCGTTATGCAAGAGCTGCGACTGCACCAAGCACTTGCGCAACAACAACAACAACAACAATTTCTTCAGCAACAGCAACAATGTCAACAACTACTTCAACAAAAGTCACAACAGTTTCAGCAACAACTTCAATACCAACAATAGCAACAGCCATAGCGATTTGTGCAAGTACCGATTTTGCAGCAGCAGCAGCAGTTTGCTTTTAATAGACTAGTTTTTAATGCTCCATATCTTCTAAGCAACAGGCTGATTAAAACAATCGTAAATTTTAATGGTGTTGACATCTATTCTTGGAGTTTTGAGTTCGAGCTTCTTGCAAAATCCACCGGATTATGGCCTTTCTTCAGTAGTGGTTACCCGTATCCTGTAAATAGGACACTGATGGAGCAGCAGAGTTTTCTTCATGCGTCCCTCGGCGCTTATATGGTTCTCATCCAAAATCTTTCAACAAAAGCGCAGCTTGGAATTAACTCTCTTCATACAAGTCTTACACCCTCTCAGACTGCATGGAACCATTTAAAGGGTTGTTTATGGTGCAAGACACGATTTCAGTGAATAAAATCCTTAGGCAACTGACAAACGTGCAGATGCTGTCAAACAAGAATGTCTTGGACTACATCAATAGAGTTCACACACTTCGCGATCAATTTGAGAAATGTGGCAGGTACTTCCCTAAGGACATGTTCGTTACAGTCCTTCTTGCTGGACTTGGACCAGAGTGGCAACAATGTCGTTCTCTTCTTCGCATTCAGTCCAACCTCTCGAAGTTGAGATTTGCTCCATCTTTCAAGCCGAACAGCAAGATCTCGATCTTCAAACTGCACGCAACAAAAAAGTGGGGGTGCACGTTAATTTCTGTTCGACACCTGCAAAACGATAAAAGAAGTATGTCAGTCACTACTATAAAAGGGATGGACATAGTAAAGAAATCTGTGAAAGGTTTCGAGTGGATAAGGGTAACTATTGTCGTAGTCGCGGCATAAGTCAACTCCTTCGAAGCAATCGGTGAAGCACATTCTGCCAACGACTACTTTTGCAACATTCGGGAAACAGACATTCAGCTGTGTTACTACTGTTCACTCACATGAATCAGATTTTTCAGACAATTACAATGCTGCAAGTTCCATTGAAGCACCTGAGAACATTCCTCAGGTTTATGCCAATTTTGCTGGCATCATCGCCGGTCCTAAACCCTAAAAAAAAACACTGCACACGCCCAAAAAACAAGCAAGCAAACAAACAAAAAACAGCGGGCAGCGGGCAGTGGTCAGTGGCCAGCGGTCAGCGACAAGTGGGCAGCGGCCAGTGGGCAGCAGTCACGATCAGCGATCAGCAAGCAGCGACGGTCAAGCGCTGCAGTCAGATGCTGGCTGTCAGCGATCAGCGGACAGCGGGCAGCGGACAACAGGCAGCGGTCAGCAGGCAGTGGTCCGCAGTCAGCGGTCAGCGGTCAGCGGGCAGCGGGCAGCGATGGATAGGTGCTGGCTGTCAGACACTGTTGGTCAACAGTCAGCTGGCAGTGAACAGCGACGGCCAGGCGATGTCAATCAGACGCTGCCGGGGAGCGCGCTGGCAATAATGCTTGTGCAAAGACTAGCTGCTTCCTGGTCATGGCGAGAGAGCACATACGAAAGCAGCAGATGTATAATCGGGCTGACTTCAAATCGTGCTCCAACTCTCATCCTTCAAATACAAGGTTTGCTGATGTTGGGGGAGGGGGATTTTCTTTCCACTCACCCTCGAGTAACGAGGGGCTTTCGCGGGGTAACTTTGGGTGGTCAGGGCTGGGGGACGGCTTAGGTTCCCCATCTCTAGACGGCAGCGGAATAGCTATGGAGGAGCTAGACCACGAGCTGGAGCGCATGGGAAGCGTGGCGGATAGCACCCTGGAGGTGTGGAAGAAGCAGACCAGCAGGACCTTCCCCAAACTCGCACAGACAGCCTCGGGTAACTGGGATTTCGCGTCGGGGGGGAGTGGGGGGGCTGGGGGGGAGGAGCGGGATCAGGGGGGGAGAGGGGGGAGTGTGGGGGGAGGGGGAGGGGGGAGGAGGAGCGGGGGAGGGAGTGCGAGCAGTAGTGTGGCTGGGGAGCGACGGTCGAGGCTGTCTATGGAGGCAGTTGAGGTTGGGGAGGTGGGCGAGGTGGTGGGGAAGGAAGGTTCGAGGATGGAGGATTCGAGGAAGGAGGAGGAGGATGTGGGGGGAAACGTGGAGGGAAGAGAAGAGAAGAAGGAGGCGAAGCAGACGCACGCAAGTGTGGGTCAGGCTGGGAAGGGAAAGTCTCTGGGGAAGGGAGCAGGGGCAGGGACGGCAGATGTGCAGCAAACAGAAGGAGCCGGAGGAGCAGGAGCAGGGGCGGGCGCAGGAGACAAGGCGGGGGAGGCAGCGGGAGCGGCAGACGGTGCAGAGAAGCAGAAGGAGAAGAAGGAGGGAGAGGAGGTGGTGGAGGTCGAGGGAGGGGCTAAAGAGGAGGGGAGCAAGGCGAAGGAAGAGAGCAAGGCAAAGGAAGAGAGCAAGGCGAAAGAGGAGGAGGAGTTTGAGACGTTCAACCTGAGGGTCATCCATCGAAAGATCAGGTGAGACGCTCTCTGTGTATGGCCGAGCTGCTGCTGATACCATGGCCAAGCTGCTTACCCCGTGGCCGAGCTGCTGACCCCAAGGCCCGTGAGCGCGTTTGAAGATCATTTTCTCACTCCCCACTCCCTCCCCTCTCCTTCGTGAGGAGTCTATTTTTGAGGCGCCTCAAAAATAGACTCCTCGCTCCCCTCTCCTGAGTCGACTCAAAAGTCACTTCCCACACCCCACTCCCTCCCCTCTCCTTCCCCACCTCCCCAACACAGAATGGGTTTGGAAGAAAAAGACTTCCCTGTCGTGCTCAACTTGGTTATCGCTGAGCGTTACTACGTCACCGAATACCTGGGCTCGGTGACGTTCAGCAAGGCATTGAGAAAGGCGTTGAGCAAGGCGATCCAGTTGAGCGAGGCGGTGAGCAACAGCAAGGGGATGGAATTGTGCCTCTCGAGTTCATTCTTTCTCCGCTGCTCTTGTGCCCCGCCCCCCCCCCCCCCCCCCCCTCCCCCCCTCCCTCTCCACAGAATGGGTTTTGAAGAGGAGAAGGACTTTCCTGTGGTCTTGAATTCAGTTATCGCGGGTCGCTATTATGTGACTGAGTACCTGGGGTCAGCAGCATTCAGCAAGGCGATCCAAGCTCACGACCTGCACACTGGGATGGATGTGTGCCTCAAGATCAGCAAGAACAATAAGGACATCTTCGACCAGAGCCTTGACGAGATCAAGCTGCTCAAGTTCATTAATAGGCATGACCCCGCGGACGAGCACCACCTGCTGCGGATGTACGACTACTTCTATCATAGGGTGAGTGTGTTTGGCGCCTCAGTACACGTCTAACACGTAGGGTGAATGGGGGGGGAGGTATGACCCCGCAGGAGAGGGGTGTGTGTGCCTCAAGATAATGAAGAACAATAAGGACTTCTTCGACCAGAGCCTTGACGAGATCAAGCTGCTCAAGTTCATCAATAGGCTCGACCCGGCTGACGAACACCATTTGCTGCGGATGTGCGACTACTTTTACCATCTGGTGGGTGATTGAGTGTGTCTGTCTGCAGTTGTGTAAGGTAGGCTTCTTCGACCAGAGCCTGATGAGATCAAGCTGGTCAAGTTTATTAACCAGCGGATGAGCACCACCTGCTCGGATGTATGACTACTTTTACCATCGGATGCGAAAAAGAGAGGGTGGTCGTGTGGGGGTAAGTGT